CCCTGACTGGCACAGTTTGCTCTGTCGTTGTGTTAGGATCTTTGATATGGACATGGATGAGATTAGCTCTTCTTTGTATGTGCTGTATGTCGATGACTCTAGTGTGACTGGTTCCTATTACCCTGTGTTGCCTAGCATAGGTGTGCCCAGAGTGCCTAGTTCAGGCTCCCCTGGTGCGTCAGGCGTAGGATTCTCTGCCTTGTTTAGCCTTGGGTCCTCCCTCGCTCCTCCGACCCCTGTCGCCACTGCCGCGCTCTCCTTCACCTTGGACTCCGGCGCTTCCTGGTATTTGTTTCAGGACTCCACTACGCTTATGCCGCTTGCCGCTCCCGCCGGAGTTGCTCTTGCAGACCCTTCCTCCAGTCCTGTAGTTGTCCGTAGCTCCCTTACAGGCCTGCACATCCCTTCGTTCTCTAGGAACCTAGTTGGTGCCGGCTGCCTCCAGGACCTTGGCGTCCCCACTATGTTCCCTAGGCACGAGCGGTACGCTGTCTGTACTGAGGCCGCCACTAGTGCCCCCTTAGCGACGTTCCCCCGGGACTGGGTGACTGGCCTGTTCATGCTGGACACCGCGTCCCCCCCGGTTGGGACGCCTCCCCAGATAGCAGCGTCTTCCCAGGTTGCTGCAGCGTGCTCGTGTCGGTCGCTTACTCACATGTCGCTTCTGTGCCGTGCCCCTCACTCCTCCTCGTTCCCCCCCACCGCCGCAGTGCTACATCCCCTGCACATGGACGTCTGGGGCCCCGCCCCCGTCCATGGGCCGCGTCGCGATCGCTACTTCCTAGTGCTTGTCGACGACTATACACGCTACATCATCGTGTTTCCCCTGGAGCGGAAAGCCGACGTGCCTGACGTTCTTATCCTGTGGCTTGTCTCTGCGCATGTTCACCGAGGTCTCCCTGTCTTGCGTCTTCACTCCGACCGTGAAGGCGAGTTCGCGTCTGGCTGCCTTTGTCGCTTCTGTCGTGTGGAGAGCATCACCCAGACGTTCACTCTGCCGGGCTCCCCACAGCAGAATTGGGTCGCTGAGCGACGCATCAGCTTGGTCATGGAGGTGGCACGTACCTCCATGATCCATGTCGGTACACCCCATTTTCTGTGGCCATTCGCCGTTCGCTACGCCGCCCACCAGCTTAACCTGTGGCCACACCCTCTGCGGCCGCAGGTTTCGCCAACCCTCCTCTGAACTAGGTCTCCTGGTTCCGCGTCTGCGTTCCATGACTGAGGCTGCAATGCTCACGTTCGTGACTCTCGCACGGACAAGCTTACTGCCTGCACTATCCCCTGTATCTTCCTAGGTTTCCTCCTCGACTCGTCTGACTGGCAGTTCTACCACCCGCCTTCTCACCGTTTCTTTCACTCTCGCGACGTCACTTTTGACAAGTCCGTCTCCTTCTACCACTTCTTTCCCCACCGTGGTCCCCCAGTCACTCCCCCTCAGTTTCTGGTTCCCCCCCTTCCACCTGTAGCTCCTGCCCCTAGCAATCCCCGCCCTGCCCCATCTAGTGTGTCTCATGTCACCCCCCTTGTGAGAGTACGACCCCGTTACACCACTTGTCCCTTTTCTTATTTCCTTCCTCGTTCATTTCTCTCATCTCATTTGGTTTCCTATTCTCCCTTTTCCCTTAACCTTTGGTTTATCCTGCTATTGCAATTATATCACCGACCAGGCTTGGGATGTACTGGTGCGCTATCTGGCGTAATCCTGCCGTAATCCCTTAAAGCCAATAGCCTCGCGTGGCTATACGCAGGGTGATTCTATCTTCTAGAAGGGTCTATTCCCTTAGGATAAGATAAACCAGGTTACCTGATGTACTTTGGAAGTATAAAAGCGCCTTGTACTGATCGATAGTGCAACCTTTCCTCGACACATTCGATCCTGTGACACTTGGTAATCAGAGCTTTTCTCACTCGACAGCGCTCAGCTAAGCAGCAGCAGCGGGGATCCTGCCTCGAAAAACCGCCGGGGGCGACCAATTCGACGCCGATTCTGGTAAGCACCAGCTCCGCGATTTTCGAATTACCCCCTCCGTGCGTGTTTTGAACAGGATGGCAACCTTCGACAACGCCGAGGTTACCCAGCAGCTCTTCGCGCGCATCGCAGCCCTTCAGGAGGAAATGCGAGCGGATCGCGAAGCGTGGCGAAACCAGTTCGAGCGAGTAACTCGACTCGCCGGAGCGCAGCACGAGATGACAACGGCGACGACGCAGCAGTCGCAGCAGTTTCTCGAGGCTCCGAAACCGCGCCCACCTGAGCCGTTCGATCCGAGCGATCGAAACTCCGACGCCCGCAGATGGATCGCCGGGATGGAGATCTACTTCGCAGCCGTCGGATGGAGCTCGCCAGTCTGGGACGGTCAACGCGTACGACTCGCGGCGACACTGATGCGAGGGCCGGCACTCGAGTGGATTGGCGGCAACAGTACTTTCATCCACGGTGAAGCCACGTGGCAGCAGTTCCGCACCGACCTGCTGAAACGATTCGAGCCGATAGATTTGAGTTTCCTTGCCCGGGAAAAAATTCATCGACACCGACAGTTCGGGAGTGTAGCACAGTACACGCAGCAAATGGAAGAATTTTATAACCGCATTCCCGACCTGACCGGAGGGGAAAAAGTACAATCATACCTCGCCGGGCTGAAGACCGAAGTCAAACGACAAGTCGCAGCGTCAAACTACGCGAGCTACAGTGACGTCGTTTCGGTAGCAGAGCGCTTCGACATGGTCAACGCCGGAACACGACGGACGCACGTCGGCAGTACGCGACAGGGCGACCGCTCGGCTCACCCCACGTTCGCCGACCCGATGGAAGTCGACAGATTCGAGGGGCGGTCACGTCCGAAAAACACCAACTACACGTGTGATTTTTGCGGGGTGCCGGGCCACCGAATCTTTGACTACAGCAAAATGAAGACCGCACGCGCAGAGTATCGGGCACGCAACAGTGGCGGAAATCTTTCGGCCAATCAGAAGACAAAAAACGGGAGTCGCCAGTGATTGCGGATCTAGCTGGCGAAAATAAAAAGATCCGAAAGCGGCCGCGGGATTCCGGGAAAATCAACTTCGACGAAGCTGATTCGACGCGAGAAGGAGGAAATGATGGGGGAAAATCTCCACCCCACGACCAGTCCTCGCCAGGGAAAATCGCCGAGGAAAAATACGACTCCGCGAAAAAAGACTCTGCCGAGACAGGGAAACTCCTTGAAGACCCAAGAAATTATAAGAATTCGTTAAAGTTATCTTATAAAGATGCTTTAATGAAAACTTATGAATTTCGAGGGGCTAGAGCCTTGGAGAAATTTCGGGAGGGACTCCAAAAGAAGCAGACAGCTGTGGAGATTATACCGGTACCGGAAAACTTGGGGACCAAATTAAGGAGTGTGGAAAGAAGCCGACCTTTCCACGGAGTCAACGTCCTCTCCCGACACCAGCCCACAACGACTACCCGTTCCCCAGGGAAGACGTCGGTGGAGCTGAAGCAGCTCAAGAGGAAGCTGGGGGGACTACAAGAAGCTGCACAAACCCCGAACTCCTTCTACGGATGCATCCAGTTCTTCGGCATCAGTGACGCGCACAGTCGTCAAAGAAACTCCGGGCCCTGGAGAAGAGCCGTTCTCCAAGCAGCCTCGACCAGCTGCCAGCTCAGGAGTAGATAGCAGCACACAGGTGTGTACGGAGTATTGGGATGTACCCTATGACCCAGTCAATGAAACTAGGTACTCCGAGCAACGACTGCCCCTCGTGCTCGAGGTCATCTGCAAAGGACGACGCCTCCAAGCACTCGTGGACAGCGGAGCATCACACACCGTCTGCAACAAGACAGTAATCGACCGACTACAGGGAGAGTACAAGCCTTCAGGATTCTCTGCAACGATGGTGGACGGCAGCAAGTTACCAGTACACGGCGAAGCAGTGCTACATCTACAAATCGGACCACTGCGCTGGAGACCTGCACTCCCCATCACCAACATCAAAGGGCTTGACTTGATCTTCGGGCGAGACTTCCTGAAAAGATTCAACCCCGAGATCAACTGGGTGAACCGCACCGCAAGCATCTACAACAATGGATGGAGAATACAGCTACCCAGCTGGGACGATACTGGAGATATCCCAGTGGAGACACTCGCACGATTCGAGAAGGACGTAAAGCGGACCGACACCGGGTTCCTGGCGATAGCAACAGAGGTGGAAAATGACGGAGAGAAAGCCTCGGAAACTCCAGAAAAAATCAAGGAAATACTGAAGGAGTTCCAAGACATTCTTCCTGACGATCTTCCGAACGAGCTACCGCCATACCGAACGCATCAACACGAGATCGTGGAGGAACCGGGTTCGAAGCCGACCTTCCGAGCACCATACCGGCTCAGCCCTACGGAGCTGACTGACATGAAAAAACAGATCGAGTATCTCCTAGCCAAAGGACTCATCCGGCCATCCACTTCGCCATACGGTGCCCCAGTACTCTTCACACCGAAACCGGACGGAAGCCTGCGCATGTGCATCGACTACCGAGCTCTTAACAAGCAGACCATCAAGAATAAATATCCGATACCGCGAATCGATGACCTGCTTGACCAGCTTCGGGGAGCTACGGTATTTTCCAAACTGGATCTGCGGTCCGGATACTGGCAGATACGGATGGCGGACAACTCTATCCACAAAACTGCTTTTCGAACTCGGTACGGATCGTACGAGTATTTGGTAATGCCGTTCGGACTCACCAACGCGCCGGCAACGTTCCAAGCCGAAATGAACCACATTCTACGACCACTTCTAGATGAATGCGTGGTGGTGTACCTGGACGACATCCTCATCTACTCGCGCGACATGAAGCTGCACGTCGAACACCTGCGACGCGTCTTCGAAATTCTTCGAACTGTCCAAGAGCGAATTCGCCCTTGAAAAGGTCCAGTTCCTAGGACACATGGTGAGCGCTCGAGGAGTTCACGTCGACCCCAAGAAAATCGAGGCCGTACGCACGTTGAAGACGCCCGAGAACGTGAAGGAGTTGCAGCAGTTCCTAGGCTTCGCTAATTACTACAACAGGTTCGTGCCACAGTATGCGAAACTCGCGGCACCACTCATGAATCTGTTGAAGAAGAACACGCCCTACAAATGGGAGACGAAGCACCAGGAAGCCATGGAGCAGCTGAAACAAGCACTGACTTCCGCACCGGTGCTCATCTTGCCAGATCCCGAACGTGACTATGTCATTGAAGCAGACGCCAGTGATCAGGCCGTGGGAGCAGTCTTGATGCAAGACCAGGGGAATGGACTGCAACCAATTGCCTACCTCAGCAAGAAACTGCACGGGGCAGAACTCAACTACCCGATACACGACAAAGAGGCCCTTGCTATTGTCATCGCCTTCAAAGCATGGAGATGTTATCTCGAAGGACGTCAAACAACAGTCTACACCGACCACTGCAGTCTGAAATATCTGAAGACACAACCAACCCTTTCCAGGCGGCAGGTCCGGTGGATTGACTTCCTCGAGACACACTTCCACTACGACATCGTGTACAAGCCCGGCCACAAAAACAAAGCAGACGCCCTCAGCCGGCCTGCACACGTTGCCGCTATTCAGGCCGAAGGGATGAATCCACTACTCAAGGGAGCACACGGGTACGCCATCGACCCCGAAATTCCCTTGGCAGAAAAGTGACATCTGCTACAGTGGGACAGTGACATCGCGTACCGGAAGGGATCAACAAAAATCTGGGTACCCAATTACCCTCCTTTGCGCCAGTTACTACTCGAAGAATACCACGATGTCCTGTACGCCGGACACTTCGGTAGCAACAAGACGCTCACCGGTATCGCCAAACACTACTACTGGCCCCACATGGCAGACGACGTCCAGAAATTCGTCACCTCGTGTGATACATGTCAGCGGATGAAGAGCAGCAAGCAGAAAAAGGCGGGACTACTGCAGCCTCTTCCTGTCCCAGGACAGCCATGGCAAGTGGTTAGCCTAGACTTCATCACCGGGTTACCACCTACCTCCAGCGGTCATGACGCCATCCTTGTCGTCATTGACAAGTTCTCCAAAATGGGACACTTCATCCCAACACACACGACGGCACGCACCGAGGAGACAGCACAGCTCTTCGTTCGTCACATCATCTTACAGCATGGCATCCCAACTACACTCATTTCTGACCGAGACCCCAAGTTCACCAGCAAGTTCTGGAAGGAACTCATGTCTCTACTCGGCACCAAACTCGCCATGTCATCCGCATACCATCCGCAGACAGACGGACAGACCGAGCGCCTTAACCAGATTGTGGAGCAACTCCTTCGAGCAGCCTGCAAGGACGACATCTCCAAATGGGACTTGCACCTGCCCGTACTCGAGTTTGCTTACAACAATGCTACGCATGCCGCTACTGGACAGACGCCGTTCTTCCTCTGCTACGGACGCCACCCACACACACCACAGAAACCGACAACATCCGCTACGGTACAACCTGCACATGATTTCATCACAACCATGCATCAGCTTTGGGATCGGACCCATAAGCGCCTCCTCGACATTCAACAGCAACAAAAGCGCCAGGCCGATCGCCATCGCAACGACCACACCATCACGGTGGGAGACCAGGTGCTTCTTGACACCCGCAACCTGGACATCAGCCACCTCCCATCTAAACTTCGACCTCGCTTCTGCGGGCCTTTTCTCGTTAAAGCACAGGTCACTCCTGTTACCTTCCGCTTACGCCTGCCAGCTACCTGGAAAATTCACAACGCCTTCCATGTCCAGCTTCTGAAGCCCTACCGGGATCCGAACACGATCTTCGTCGGAAGCCAACCGCCGCCGCCGCCGCCCGTCCTTGTCCACTATGAACCCGAGTACGAGGTCGAGTCCGTGCTAGCACACCGCCGACGTCGGAATGGCACCGTGGAGCTTCTCATCCGTTGGAAGGGTTATGATCCTTCTGAGGACAGCTGGGTCCCTGAGTCCGACATGGGTAACGCCCGTCGTCCTCTGCATGACTACCTTGTCAAGCAGGGTGTTACTTCTACCACCCAGCTTTGAGGGGGGGAAGTGTGAGAGTACGACCCCGTTACACCACTTGTCCCTTTTCTTATTTCCTTCCTCGTTCATTTCTCTCATCTCATTTGGTTTCCTATTCTCCCTTTTCCCTTAACCTTTGGTTTATCCTGCTATTGTAATTATATCACCGACCAGGCTTGGGATGTACTGGTGCGCTATCTGGCGTAATCCTGCCGTAATCCCTTAAAGCCAATAGCCTCGCGTGGCTATACGCAGGGTGATTCTATCTTCTAGAAGGGTCTATTCCCTTAGGATAAGATAAACCGGGTTACCTGATGTACTTTGGAAGTATAAAAGCGCCTTGTACTGATCGATAGTGCAACCTTTCCTCGACACATTCGATCCTGTGACACCCCTCCCGTCGGGTGTCCCTGCCGAGGAGTCTGCTGACTCTCATGGCTCAGCGGAGTCTCTTCCCCTGCCTGACCCCGCCCCGGTCCCCCCTCCCCTGTTGCCGCAATTGCTGTCCCTGCCGCATCCGCCTTCACCACTGCCGCCGCAGCTGCAGCCGCGGTCATCACCGCCGCTGGGGTTCGTGCGTTCTGGGGGTGTTGGGGAGCGTGCTGGAGCTGGTACTGGAGCGGGTTCCCGTTCTGGGGGTGCTGGGGAGCGTGCTGGAGCTGGTACTGGAGTGGGTTCCCGTTCTCGGAGGGAGCCGTGTTGTCGCTGGAGGTTCTGGTGTTGGAGTCGGGCAGCAGTCGCAGCCGTCGCCGCCGCTGTCCGGTCTTCGCCTCCTCGGTCTTCCTTCCCCTGAACGCCTTCCGATGCCTCCTCCGTCGCCGCCGCCTCCTCCTCTGCCGGTCTACGACCCAGTGTTTCCTCCTCCAGACTCCTCTCCGGCTCATTTCCCTCCCCATTCTCCTCCTGTGTCTCCCCCCCTCTCTCCTGACCCGACTCCTCCGTCTCACATCTGGTCTCGTCGTCAGTCGGCTCTTGTCGCTGCTGTCACTGCCTTCGCTGCTACCCGCCACCTGGACTATGCCACCGCTCTGGTCTCTGACCCTACATGCCCTCCGCCCGTCATGGGTGCGGCTTCCCTTGGCAGTGACGTCCTTGAGGACAGGCAGTATGAGCTCGCTCTCCTGTCTGAGGCCGCTCCCCATCTCTGTTCCATGCTACTAGTCCCTGGGGGTGACCCAGACTCCCTTGACATCCCGAACCCTCGCACCTACGCTGAGGCCACCTCGGGACCCTGGGCCTCTCAATGGATAGCAGCCATGGAGCAGGAGATGGCATCTTGGAGATCAACCGGTACCTTTGTCGACACAGTTCCCCCACTTGGGGTGAACGTAGTCGATGGCTGATGGCTATTCAAGGTGAAGCACCCTCCTGGAGAGCCGCCTGTCTTCAAGGCACGCTACGTTGCTCGAGGCTTCAGTCAGCATGAGGGGGTGGGCTTCTTTCAGACCTTCGCCCCGACCCAAAAGATGACTACTCTTCGGGCACTGTTACACATAGCCGCATTGCGTGATTTTGAGCTTCAATCCCTCGACTTCTCTACAGCTTTCCTCCAGGGCAGTCTACACGAGCAGGTCTACCTACGCCGCCCCCAGGGCTTCTCAGATACCTTTCTCCCTAGCACTGAGTGGCTCCTTCGGTGCCCCATCTACGGCTTGCGACATGCGCCCGGTGAGTGGCACGACACGCTGCGTACTACACTTGCTGACTGGCATTGTGGCCTCTTCCCAGTGGCTGGACTAGTAGTGCCACCTTGAGCTGCTTGTCTCTCACCAAGCATTGCCCCTATCCAGTCTAGGGGGTGTGTCAAACATATCTTTGTATGGTGTTATTGTCAAACATGTGTATCTCCTATGTTTGCATAGACTGTATAGGGCCACCACTTAGAGGGTACAACACTTAGGTATATTCACCTGTACTCTCTCTCTACTCATTCATTCAGTTCTCACTTTAACATGGTATTTCGCATAGGTTAGGATCCCCCACCTACCGCTTCCGCCCGTACCCTAGCTAGGCCCCGTCGCGCCCCTCCTGGGTGTTAGGATTAAGGACAGAGTCTAGGTGAACTTAGGAGCTAGAATTACTCAAAATATAAATCCGAAATTCTGGACAGAAAAGTCGTCTTCACAAGAAACGACGTCGACAAAACACTAGCCGTTGGAATGTCGCGAAACTTGGATATGTTGTAGCTCTTGATCTCAGCTACCGTTCCCAATTTGAATCACGTTGATTGATGAAGTATTCGCGACGCTATGGCTTTCGACGCACTAGGGGGTAAGCTGTAGGAGGAGAACTTAACTCAATCTCAAGAGTTCAATCAAAGTTCAAGAATCTCACAAGGAATTTAGAAGGAGCAAGAGAAAGGTTGGGATAGGAAGAGAGGGATGAGAGGGAAGGTCCCAAGAGAGTCCCCAACCAAGGAAACCCCATAAGCACAAAGATTCCCTCCCTATAGGAACCCCAACTTTGACATTTGTCCCTTCCCAACCAATCCATCCAAGTTGGCCACCCTTGCCAACCTAGCTTGGTTGTTCCCAACCAATTTGCAGCTGTTACAGTGAGTGACAAATTTCCCAAACCCCCAAAGGTCCCAACTCCATATAGAGTCACCCCACAACTTCACTTTGTAACCGCCGCAATTGTAACGCAAGCTCATGAACTTTGAATCTTCATAGCTTTCGCGTTCTTGCTCCGATTGAAGGGATTCTCGTTGCGTCGGAAAGATCTTCTCAAGATCTATCATCACAAAAAACCTGCTCAAACAAAATAACACAAAACACATTCCCAAACTCCAGAACACATCACACACAAATTCTTGCACACGTTCAAACCACACATGCAAGTTGAAAAAATATGGGATGGGAGGCAGACAGAATGTGATAGCATATGATGACATCACACAACAATCTCCCCCTCTGGCTGCCAACCATCATCCACCATACCAACATCTCAAGCATGCATACTCAATGCACACTCATCCCAGCAAGCTTCATGCCCTTCCAATGATCCGCCTCCGCCAGACGCTTGGTGAAAATATCTGCTGCCTGCTGATGGGTCTTCACTATCTCCAGCCGCACCTCCTTATCAAGGAGTCTCCTCACCCAATGCCACTTAGGCCTTATGTGTTTTGTCAGCCCATGCAGACAAGCATTCTTGGCGAGCTTCACAGCGGACTCATTGTCACAAAACACAACTGTCGGCTTCTCCTGACCAACTCCCAACTCCTCCAACAAACGCCTTAGCCACACTACTTCCTTGGCCCCATGGTGTAAGGCCATGTACTCAGGGATTGGTGCCCAGTAGCAGTGAGCGATCTCATCTTCCTCAATCTGCTCAACCACACTCCCAGCCTGCACCACATTCGGCTTGCCTCTTCCCCCATAGGTCAGCCTCACTGGAGGGCGCACATCCCTCCTAGGACGCTCAGGCGGGTGTGGAACTCGAGGTGGAGACTCATGCTGCTGCTGCTGCTGCTGCTCTACTTCAGCTGCTCCCCCTTCCTCAGTCACCCCAGACATCTCCTCCTCTGACACTGCAACCTCCACCTGTCTTGAAGGCTGCTGCAACTCATCTGCCTCCACAATGAGTGGTGTAGATGGAAGCTTCTGTTGCTGCTGCTTCCATTCCTTATAGTACAGGGACTCAAGAAACTTCACATCCCTTGACACTGTCAGCTTCTGGGTGGTCAGGTCCCATAGCAGCCACCCCTTGTGATCCTTTGCAATCCCCAAGTGCACACCCCATCTTCCAGAAGCCTCCAACTTCCCCCTTTTCTCCTTAGGCACATGAAACACCACCATGCACCCAAATGCCCTCAGCATGTTCACAGCTGGAGCACTCCCATACCACTTGACGTATGGGATCCACTCCTTATCTCCAACTGTAGCCAGCACCCTATTCTTCACAAGGGCGACCTGCCTCAGTGCAGACACCCAAAACGGATCAGGCAGCCCTGCACGCCCAAGGAGAGTGCGTGCCCCCTCCTGCAGGGTCCTGTTGAACCTCTCAGCCACGCCATTCTGCTGCGGGTTGTAGGGCACTGTCAGTTGATGCTGGATCCCCTTCCTCTTCAACTCCCCCTCAAAATCAGCTCCAATGAACTCCCCACCATTGTCACTACGGATCACCTTCACCTTGTGTCCGCATTCCCTCTGAGCTCTCGGCATCCACTCCTTAAGGACAGCCGCTGCCACCTCCCCCTTGCTGTTCAAAGGGTAAACCCACACTGCTCGAGTGTGGTCATCCACAATTGTCAAGAAATAGCGGCTGCCTGAGAGGGAAGGGGCTCTTGTGGGCCCCACCACATCCATATGCACAAGTGCAAGTGGGGTCTTGGCTGGTCCTGTAGTGCTGTTGAAGGGGAACTTGGAGAACTTGGTCTCCAAGCATGTAGGGCAGCTCCCAATCTCCTTCACTCCCCCTTTCACCTCCAAGCCCTTCAGGCTCCCATCCTTCACCAACTTCTGCAGCATAGGGAAGTTCACATGACACAGCCTCTCATGCCATGTCTCCCAATCGGCCTCTCCACTCCTTGGTGAAGCCTTAGCCCATGCCGCACTCGCATCCACACCAGCAAGCACCTCACCATGTGTCTGCTGCTTCTGCACTTTCTTGACTGCTTCCAGGACCCCATCAGTTGGTGCAGTTGCATCTCCTCCTGCTGTTGCCTTTGCCGCTGCTGCCGTTGCTGCTGTTGGAGTCTTCCCATTCCAAGGGATGATGGGCAGCTGCCACAGGTCCTTGATGCAGCTGGTCTCCTCTTCCAGACTCCACAGCACCTTCTTCCCAAGCTTAGCACGGCAGCTGGTTGGTCCAAAGGTCACTTCGGCCTTACTCTTCTGCAGTCGCCGCACAGAGAGAAGGTTAGCAGACAAGCCTTTAACCAGCAGAACATTCCCAAGCCCCACAAGCTCCCCATTAGCTCCCTTAACCTTGGCATTTCCAACACCAATGACAGGGAGCAAAGCACCTGACGCTGCTGCCACATACTTGATCTTCCCAGGGGGTTTTACCTCATCAAGCAAATCTGCCCGTGGGGTCATGTGACTGGTGCAACCCGAATCAATCACCCAGTGCGTGAGAGGGTGCATCACAACCTTTCCCACAGATCCCACATCACCCTCATGCCCATGCACATCCTCAACCATAACAAACAAACCAGGATAGGCATTACCTTGTGCACCTTCACCTTGTGCACCTGAGCCTTGCACAGCGCCACCTTGTGCGCGTTCACCACTGGGCGGCTTCATGCCTGGAGGTGCCCATCCCTCCAGCCTGCTGAAGCACTTGAACCAAGGATGCCCAACCTTCTTGCAGTACCAGCACGTGCCCTCCATTCTGGTACTCCCCCTGCCACTAGAGCTCCCATGCCCCTCATTATAGTCACCTCGGCCTCTACCTCTGCCAAAGCTCCTCCCACGGCCTCGGCCTTTCCAACCCCCTCTTCCTCTGCCGCGCCCTGCAGCTCCATACCCCTCAGCAGTCTTAGTGGCAGCACCGCCTCCCACATGGCGTCTGCGGAAGTCCTCCTGCAGAATCTGCTGCCTTAGCCACTCAGGTGTCCATTGATCTTGCTGAGAGTTGAGGGTGGGGATGAGGTTATCCCACGAGTTGTCCAACACCGAGATGATCTTGGTGCACTGCTGCAGCTGAGATACACTGCTGCCCGCTGCTGCCATCCTTGCATAGGTGTCCTTGATCTTGTCAAGGACCGGCTTCACATCGTCCCCTGGTCGCATGGAGATGGCAGCAAGTTCCTTCTCGAGCACGATCACCATCAGGAGAGTGTTGGGCTGAATCACATCGCGTAGTAGTTTCCACGCCCTTGGACCCGAATCATCCGCTTCCACAAGATCCTTGATGTGCTCGAACATCTCCTTGTTGACCGATTGAAGAATGAGGTCGAAAAGCACCGCGCTTTTCTCAATCCACCGTTCACGTGCTTCGCCTTCTTCCGGCATCTTCTCTTCCCCAACAGCAATCTTCAGTAGCTTGTAGCGTTTGAAGGCACTTCTCATCCGTCCGCTCCATTCCTCATAGTTGGAGCCATCCAAAGCTTCAACTTTTGATGGCGGCGGCTCACTTGTCTTCTCAGCTACAGCTCCTCTTCC